GAGCATGATGTGAAAAGCCTCAATTGCTTCGTCATAACGTTGTGCACCATGAAGCGCTGCATGCTTCAGCTCGTACCCACGATAAGACGAAGGATTAAGTTCAATGACCTTCGTATGAACAGTATTAGCACAATTGTGAGAGCAATGACAGATATCATCCGCACCATTTCCGCGTCGGAAAGGGCTTTCGGATAGAGGTATCGTCCCAAGTTCGCTTTACTGCGGTACTCAAAAAAGGAGTCATACGAGGAATCCAGCGCGAATGCCGCAGAAAGTGCGTTTTCAATAGACCAGAGTTGAACCTTCCCTTCGTCATCTCCACTGATGAGCACGTCTCCATTGGGAGAAATTGCGGCAAAACAAACCCGGGCTGTGTGTTCGAATGCCTGTCCTATCTGCTGGTGCGACTTTGTGCTCCACAACCGCACAGTCTTGTCGCCCGAGGAAGTGGCAACGAAGGAGCCATCAGAAGAGATGGCGAGCGAGTCGATGGAGTCAGTGTGACCGATACAAGGCATACCGATCTGGTCTCCATTCAATGAGTTGCAGAACTTGACTGTGTAGTCACTTGATGCGGAGACAAGTTGTTGGCCGTCAGGTGACCATGCAACGCTTGTGATCAAATCTTCATGGGCCTTGATCTCGAGAAGAAGCTCAGCGTTATCGGTCCGCCAAACCTGGATGGTACCGTCCAAGGATCCGGAGGCTAACTTTAGCCCATCTGGACTCAATGCCACACCCAATGCCCAACTGCTATGACCATGGAGTGTTGTGAGGACAGCACCAGTCTCCGCGTCCCATAAAACGATCATAGAGTCTAATGACCCACTAGCGAGTTTCCTGCCGTCGAGAGAGAAGCACACCGAATTCACCCAGCCTGTATGCTTCACCAGCGGATCGAATACCATCTGCCTGCTCTCAACGTCCCAAATGATGATAGTTTTATCCTTTCCACCACTCGCGATTCGTTTATTGTCTGATGATACGGTGACTGATCGCACCCAGTCCTTGTGTCCCTCGAATGGTCCTCCTAACAATTCTCTGTTCTGCACATCCCAGATTCGCAGGTTCCTTGACCCCGTGACGACTTGTCGGCCGTCTTTGAAGAACGCCACTGCCGACACTGCGCTCGTGTGCCATCTAATCGTTCGCGATGATGCGGGTTGTGTTATCTGCGGCGCCTGCGCTGGTGTTGCTCGCCTTCTCACACTAAGATAAGCTTGTTTTGCTACATCAAGCACTCCTGACATACGATCGCGTTGACCTAACAGACCTATTAGTTTGTCGATGGCATTCGACACTTGATGATAAACGTACTTTGGGGATATGGCGACTACGTTGTGGACTTTTGTGGGTCATATGTGATGACTCGTGACGTTGGATTATCCAACTCATGTACTTATGCGACGCTGATTTTTGAATGTTGGCTCCGTATGCCACGGAGTTGCCGATACGCGTCGCACCGACCGATCCGGACGCTAATTTCAGCCGGGGATTGTGCGACTTAATGTTGCATTTCCGAATGACAGCACAGTGAATTCGGGAATCGAAATACGCTCGAGGGTAGTCTTCGAAAAATGTAGAACACTGGCCGTCAGCAACTACGACTCCGAACCCCCGCGCAGCCCAGATTCCCATATCTCCCTGACGCCCTCCTTAAACCACACGACATTCCACACCACCAAACCCCTGTGCATCAATCATACACCGTCGTCGGAAGGAGTGCTAGCAATGCGGCGAGCGTGAAGGTGAGAGCGACGTCGCTGCTGAGGGGTAGAAGTGGGGCTTTGACGGTGGAACGAGGGATGTCGATGAGGTGACTGACGTGTTCCGGTGGGAGTGGTGCTGGAGGTGGGAGTTGATCTCATGGCTGTGGGTGGGGACGCTGGTGCTGGTGCTGGTATCGGGGAAAACCGACTCGTCCGCGGATCGTTAGAGTTGGACCTGGTGAGATGGTATATGGGTGGGAAGAAACGTATGTACCTGTAGGGCGGTCCAAAAGAGTTGAGCACGGATAGATTGTCGCAGCAACGATTGTGCGTGGCTTGGTCTACTGGTGAGGTAGATGGAAATTAAGAAGGAATTGCTCGAATTTGGGAGATTTGTCTACGAGGCGCTCCATGACGCGTTCGTGTATCTGGCAGAAGTTTTATGCGTGCTGTTTCAATCACTAACAAAGAATAATGTATGAGGGACTGGCGTACCGATCTTATCGTCTTCTTGAAGCCTTTCCGGTTTGTACACAAGTACTTCAAAATTTATGTCGGGGTTTAATTTGATTTGCCATGCAGCGACTATTCGGAACTCCACGAGTTTTGAGACGGGATGTTGGTAGAGATCCTGTGCATCTGGCAGTCGGCAGACAAACGGAAAGAGCCTTCGAATTCTTTGGTTTTCGTGCTGCAGTAGGAATGAACTGATTAGGTAAGTGCCAGTGGCCGCGCGACAATATTCGGGATATCAGGTACTATATCGTAGCGGCGCTGGGAAACGCCAGTCCCCGACTTCAACTTCAAGAAATGACGACGGATTGGTAGTAAACAGTCTATCGATATAGCAATCAGGCGCTTCGCAGATCAGATGCAGCACTACTTGAAATTTGACAATAGTATTCGAGTGACTCGAGTCAGGCTAATCATCATCAGCCTCCAGCTCAATGTCAAAGATGTCATGGCTCTCCGTCGATAACTTTGAGTTCTTAGCAGGTGACTGACCTCCGAGCTCGTTAGTAGTCTTCCTTTTGCCTTTGGGATAATGGAGAGCTTTCTTCGTGTAGGCTGCACGTGGCAGCAACTGCATACGCCGAAATGACTGCTTTTGAAACAGGCATCGGTCATTCCCGCTCTCGATCTGTACGAATATCTCTCACCTCTGCCAGCGCATTCTATTTGCATTCTAGATGGACTAACATGTCCTTGACAGAGCGCGAGACAATTTCCTGTGACAAACGTCCAGTAACGAGCACGCCAAACTCATGAGCAAGAATTTGATAGCAAGCAGCCTTATCTGAGAGTAAATAACAGCTCAAGAACAGAAAATATGCCAGATAAACGTCACCCAAAACACTTGCTCCAGCATGAAATAGGTGTAGTGCGCGTTGCCGGGCATGATTAGCGAGTGCATCACACGTTTTTCGATGAGAGAGCTTGTTGTAGAGTGTGCGATAGCGTGGTGCTAATCGAGGAATACATGTCTAGATGTCAGTGCGTTTCAGCTTCTCTAAACGGCGAGGAATATCATCAACAGATGCTGAAATCCACTGTAAAGACATGGCTTAGAGACTTGCACAGCTGCTGGATCGAGAGCAGGAGGTGCGCTGATGATAGGAGGAGTACGTACTAGAGTAGTTGCCAAATTGAGACCGTACAAGTTCTGAAACTCAGCAGCAAGTAAAGTGCCCCGTGATCTTGTGCAAGCAGGTGGGACTGATGCGGTCAAGAGACTCTTGAAGAGGATATCATCTGACATGCTTGCGAGCTCTGTGCGTCGAGAAGCGAAATGAGATACAATTGCATCGACACTGCGTTCTTTATTTCGCGCGTCGGATCTTTTAGTACCAATACGCCGTACAACACCACGCAGGACAGGCGCGGACAAAGCAGACAAATTTTCTGCACAGCAAGCATCAGTGTAGGAAAACCATCGAGGATCATCTTTTAGTCTGGACATAATGCACGAGGCAGCAGTTGGGAGGGGAGAGCCTTGTTGAACAGGTTCTCGATAATTCTTGAAGCATTTGAATACACTACAGCACACATATGCAGCAGACTCGAAATGCGCGCGACTGAAAGTCATCGAAATGTCATCCAGATGAACAGACAGACATACTCTATCAAAAACTACAGCCACTGTGACAGATCGATAGGGGAGACCACATTTGAGACATAGGCTGTTAGAATGGGAGGCGAGCGATAACTGTAACCAACAGCAAAAAAATTCGGCAGTTGCATATATAAATTTATGATATTGTCGGTAGGATATGATTGTATATCATGAAGGATGTTGTGAGGTGGGCAATCTTTAGCATCGAGTACTCGAGGCGCCGTACTGGGGTGTTTCGAGAGAAACACAGACATTCTGGAATCTGAATATTATCAATAAAACAAGCACACAGAAAGAAACCGAAAAGACATACACACAAGTTTAGCTATAGAGACGATAGACTTCGATCGATCAACTGTACAGTTTTTTCGAAAGGGTTCCCACGCATCGAGGTATAGGTGCCTGGGGATTTGGATCCGACAAAACCCTCCTCCCACTCCGTGGGAAGTCGGGGATGTCGATATCGGGTGGAGGCGTTGACTTGTCCATGATGGAAAGTCAAGTCCAAATCGAGTCAAGGATTTGGACTTGTTTGGCTTTTGCACTGGTAGTCAGTGAACTTAGAGCCTAGAGGTACCAAAGACTTGTTCAACGACATACACAAGTTGATATTAGGCTGCCCAGGTATTGTAAAGACTTAGTAGTTATTCTGTGGCCGTTAGCTGACTCTTGTTCCAAGTTGTTTCCACAACATTCGACTCATGCGCTCAATGCACCTCTACCATGTCACTGTCAGCTCGTCGTATGGAATCATTCGACTTTTCTGTGCGCGCCGTTTTCAGCAGTTTGTATTGTTTTTATTTCCATTGCCTTAGGGAATACACTCGATTCTACTTTTTAAATTCTGCTTTCGAAGTGTGCTAAATGAGTGGTACGACTTCATGATACAAGTATAGGAGCAGCAACTATCACAACACGCTCTAAGACTCGCATATCCCCTTGCGGGCCACTTTCCCTGAATACTGATCATGACCTTGTCTACACTTCTTTAGCACAGATTCTTCCGCTAATACCACTGATCTCCATTTTCACCGCTTAGTGCAATGGTACCAGCATCTATCGTGCCGAACTGCGATCGACAACATGGAAATACACGTGTAGCATGACCTAGGCCTGAACCCTGAACGTTGAGCCTCTCCTGTCCCTCTCAGCCGAACTACATCCACAGTCCCCATATCCCTACCCCCGTCTTGCCCTCCCACCCATTCCGCCCACCACTCTGCCCATCCTCGATCCTCGTCATTTTACTTCATCACACCATCATGCCCGGTAGCTTAGAAGGCCGATATATCAGACTTGAAGGTGGGTTGCTCCATATCACCTTTGTATCCGTTTCGTGATTCTCACACTATTTTTACAGTCATCGGCGGAAAAAATCTTCAAGTCCCCTCCGAGCGCATTCCCGCAGGCATTTACATATCCACCAATGTCGACTCCCGGAGACGCTGGAAATCGGCTATCAGTGTCTTATCATCTGATGAATCTGCATCGTGGGGCCACACTGTGACTCTGTAAAGTCCATGGAGACTTTCCGATGCGACGCGAGAGCTGAACTTCGGTTTCTAGATCATCCCATGCCTCACCTGCATTATCGATAGAGATCTGGGCGTCCTATGAGGTCGGTCGAATGCTAGGCAATGGAGAGGTCATTGGTAAACTTCAAACGTCGTGGGATGAGCTACTCAATCATGGAGATGAACTTTTCAGTAAGCTTCTCGTCATTCATACACATACTAACATCTCGTAGTTTTGTCCTTCCCACCCGTTCGTGGTGTCCACCCTTCCCTCACGCTTAAGGCCGCCGTTGTACATACTTGCGACAATCAGGACGGTGCACTGTCTGATGTGAGTGGCGTTGGTCTCTACTGTTGGCTTTTGCTGACAGAACACCAAATGTAGTCCCTCGTAGATTGCGAGATCGCTCGAGACACAGATGCGGGCCACGCACAATTTGCCGCATACATGACGAGCGAGACGGTCTCTCACCTGAACGATGCAGTGCAGCATTTTCAGTTGGTTGTGGACCAGTGTCCGGTCAGCCATCCTGACCACGCAACAGCCCTCACCAACCTTGCGTATGCGCGCCTTCGAGGGTATGTTCGCAACGATCTTCAAGACATTGATACCACCACTTCCCTGTTCCGCGAAGCCCTTGCATTGCGTCCGCAGGGCCATCCCGATCATCCATTATCTCTATATAATCTCACCGTCGCGCTGACTTGGCGCCACAACAAGAAAAGTACCGCTGCCGACATCCGCGAAGCCGCCAAACTGTATCATGAGCTACTGCCTCTCTGTCCAGAGGGCACCTACCTTCGGAGCATCGTGGCAGGGGCAAACGGTGTCGATTATGTGATCTGCGGATGCAACAATCTTCCAGAAGACACATCTGATGAAGGCATCCACCTTCGACGAGTCATCCTCGAGCTCTGTCCTCTGGGCCATCAACGCCGTCCAAAAGCACTTTACGCGCTTTTACAATCACTCCACACACGCTTTATACAATATGGCAGCATCGATGATCTAGATGAGAGCATAAGACTCGGTCGTGAAGCCGTTTCTCTGCTTCCCGAGGGACATCCTGGGCGTGATAGCTACTTGAATGAGTTGGCTTTCTCACTCGAAGACCGCTTCAATCACCAAGGCAAAGCTAATGACCTCGATGAGGCCATCTCTTTGTACAAAGAAGCGCTGCGCCTGTGCCCTGTTGGACACGAACCCCGTGATACCTCATTGGACAACCTAGGGCTTGCCCTCCTCAGCCGTTTCAACAAACATGGCAACATTGATGACATCACCCAAGCTATCAGCCTCCATCTCGAGGCACTGACATTGCGCCCACCTGGGCATCCAGATCGTGATACCACGCTTAACAACCTTGGCCTCGCGCTCGACACCAGATACAACAAATTGCATGTCATTGATGATCTTAATGAGGCTATTGATCGGTATCGCGAATCCCTTCGGTTAAAGCGGCATGACCATCCAGAGCGCCATAAATTTCTTTCCAATTTGAGCGCGTCGCTCTGCTCTCGTTTCACGCAAACTCGGGATAATGAAGATATCGAGGAGGCCATTAATCTCTGCCGAGAGTCATTGGCGGCTCTGTCTTCGCTGCACCCGGACAGATGGTTCAGCTACACATGGCTGAAGGAAGCCTATTTAGCTCGTTACCGGATTCTACACGACCCTGATGATTTATCGCTCGCGGTGGACAACTTCAGACTCGCATCGGGACATCCTACACAAGGATTTCCTCGGCGTATCAGACAGGCTATTGGCTGGGCTCGCCAAGCGGAAGTCTATCAACACGAATCTGCCCTCGAAGCATACCAAATGTGCTTTGAGCTTTTCGACAGCCACGTGATGACGCGATCGTCAATTATCTCACGGCGTGAGGCTGCAACCGCTTTTCGTGGTGCACAGTTGCTACCAGTAGATGCAGCCTCATGTGCCATACGTCGTGACAATCTACGACAGGCAGTTGAACTCGTGGAGCAGGGCCGTGGCCAGCAGTGGTCGCTAGCTTCCCGACTCAAGACTCCAGTTGAAGACCTTGAGTCAGCAAATCCGAACCTGGCGCACAATTATTTGGAGCTGAGCAAGCGCGTTTCCAATGCCGCACAGAGTTCTGCAACCATCACGGACAGAGCTGCTGCTGATCGGGCAGCAACCAAGTACAGGAAGCTTATGGAGCAGTGGGAAGCTGCAGTGGCTGAAATCCGTAATCTTCAAGCGTTCTCGCGGTTCCTGCTCCCACCTTCCTACGAAGATTTGCAAGCGGCAGCGCGCCAGGGCCCTGTCATCATCCTCATTGCCAGTCAATATTCGTGCAGCGCTATCATCGTCCCGACGTCAGGAGAGCCTAGTCATGTTCCCTTGCCGTCTGTCACTCTCGTAGATCTGAACAATCTCAAGGAGCGTTTCGCCAGGGCCATACGACACGCATCTATCATGGGCCCAAAGGTGCCGCGGAACGATCTAATAGTACTCTTGCGGACAGTATGGAAAGAGATCATGCTACCCATAGTCAACGTACTCGAGCATGTCCTTGAGCTAAAGCACGGTTCTCGAATCTGGCTGTGTCCAACTGCAGCTTTCACGTCTATTCCTCTCCATGCAGCTCACCCCTTTCAAACGAACGCAGATCGCTCTAAAGAGCCATGCCTGGAGGATCTCTACATCTGCTCTTACACGCCGACACTTTCGGCTCTGGTCAGATCTAGACAGATGATGAAGAAGCGTGTTGCTCCATCCTTCGTGACAATCGGACAGAGTCAACCGGGTGCAGGGAAAGGCAAGGCGCTCTTGACCGTTGACAGCGAGCTCGAGCTTGTCCGTAAGCTCGTCCCGGCGATGGCCAACCGTACCACCATTTCTGGTGATGCAGCCACACGAGCAGGTGCACTTGAAGCTTTGGAAGAGAACACCTGGGTGCACCTCGCTTGCCATGGCAAGCAGGATTCTACTCAGCCTTACAATTCCCACTTCGTCATGAGAGATGAACATCTGACGCTGCTTGATATCATGGAGAAACATATTCCGCATGCTGAGTTCGCATTCTTATCCGCTTGTCACACCGCCGTCGGCGATAAGGAGACGCCCGACGAAGTGATTCACCTTGCAGCTGGTCTCCAGTTTTCGGGGTTCAAGAGCGTCATTGGCACGCTGTGGGAGGTCGACGATGCTGTTGCAAAACACGTTGTCAAAGCGTTCTACGAGAATTTGTTCGCTGATATGGAGGATGGTCGTGTCATGGACTGTACGAAGGCGGCCTGGGCACTCAACCGTGCTACGCACACTGTGAAGACGAAAGTGCCGCTTGAGCAGAGGATGGTTTTCATTCATATCGGTGTGTAGTTCTATGTCGTATTGCTATCACTTGGTACATATTCACAGTTGTTGATCTGCGATCCTCTTTCATCCTGTTGTTTGTAAAAACGAGACTCGTATTTTTGCGCTCCAGCTGTCTCGTTTTTGTATTATACACTACTCGTGTTTTTGTTGACTAGAATGTTCATCAAAGATTTTGCGTACTCGACTCGTTTGCAGCCTCGTCTTCTGCTTTGCTTAGGTAGTACGAGCCAGGCTAGTCTGGCTGACTCGTGCCTTCCAGTCATATTATTCTTCAAGCTTCAAGCGGCCCAGCCCTTCTGCACCATGACCTCGACTAACCACTGCCAATGTAATCAACGTCAAGTTAGGAGCAGGGCTCACCCATACAAACATGCGCACCCGTCAATGTTGGTAGTCTGGTCAATTCTAGATGGCTGCTTTGGCTTGACAATGGCCCATCTGCGTACTGCTTACATCCGATTCAAAATTCATTTCCTATAGTGAGCACTTATAGTTTCATACAGATTACTCATACTTGTGAAAGACCCGGCAATCTTCAAGTACCTCCTCGCCTCATCCTCAAACCTACCTCCCGTTAACGTTAGAACGAAGTCGTGATTTTTATCGGCGATGGACGCATTCACTGATGGGCCTGTCACTGGTGTCAGCCGGATGTGGGAATGGCTGTCAATATTCCGGTCGGGTAGATTTGAGGCAGTGAGTGTAGCTCTGCACATGGTGAGATTAGCTTAGAGATACGCCAGGCGCAAGGGCACGTACGTATGCCAGCCACGGCTGTGGAAGTGGGTCCTGGGAACCCTGACCAACATTTAATGAACTGGTGTTGGAACCAAACCGTCCGATCGCCGTGCGGCAGACTAGATCTAGGATAGAAGTGATTATGTGCAATCAGAGAGGCTCCAATAGCGATCAGGCAAGATTGGATCGTTCGAGCCACCGGTATGTAAGCACAGCTGCCTCGGTCCTGTGGAATATCACGCTGTCGTAGTTGAGATCAAAATGGATATATTGAAGAAGCCCACGTTCAAGCCCAGTGAAAACTGGACATGGCCAAAACCGTTGAGATCGAGTGGAATATGACGAATTTAGAAGCACAATATTTCACCACAGGAGACTCGCTGTGGAGACTAATAGAATATTTCGCGTCTGTTGATATCTTCTCGAATGTTGTAGGGTATGTTAAGAATATCCATAGCATATTTCACCACATTTTGGTTCAGTTCGCATGGTACGACAAAATCGATTGTATTCGAGTCAATTGTGCTATAATCTACTAGTACAAATGCTTCAGTCCACGATCATAAAACACACGATAGGGCCATATAGGACAATAATGATAATGCGGAACCGGAGCAAGCACAAGCAATCGGGAGGCAACCAGCAGGCGACAGCGAAAGAACAGGAATGATGTGGGCAGGCGAGGGAGATGAGCAAGCACAAGCAATCGGGAGGCAACCAGCAGGCGACAGCGAAAGAACAGGAATGATGTGGACAGGCGAGGGAGACAAGCAAACACAAGCAATCGGGAGGCAACCAGCAGGCAATACCAGGCAAGCTAATACATGAGACTGTCGACGACATCACTGTTCTTCGTCCAGCGCCCTGCCTTTTCCTACCAAGTCTCAGCAACACGATAATGGGAGTGGCAAAGTTGTACTTACCAGTTCTCCAGCCTCCCTATCATAAGACTGCGGACAAAAGTGTTAGTAGAATCCATGAAAGGATATAGTAGTGAATCAGTGTCATAATACCTGGATCTGCGCCTCATTCAATGTAGAATAATAGGCATTGAATTCATTGGTGGAACCAGGTGTAACCTGTTTAAGCCAGCGCAAGGCACAAAGGTTCCTATGCAATTTAGATAAGCACCAATCTGTCACGAATTCCGAACACAAACCACTATTCTTTCCTGAACACTCGTAAGACACCCGTTAAGCGCCCATCACAAGCGCCTGTCATTAGCGCTCAGTCAGTGTCTGTACCGATAACCTTCACAAACCCTAACCCGAACCCATCCTTTACATACCCGAGCTTCTCTATCCCGTTAGCGCCTACTACCCTTATCTCCGATATCCCCAACTTCGACTTCCTTTCGCAAGCGATTAAGTCACGTGACTCTAGAACCTCCGAAAACCCTTGTACAGCAATGACACGTTTCATGACATCATAGGTAGTTATATTTAGATCATCGTACGATTCCCTTTCCTATTTAATGATTGGCTAGTTAGTTCATTCTCAGATTCAGTCTCCGTTTCAATATATGTATATAGTTAGCTCGTTGTAGTCAGTAGTTCTCCAGTTCAAACCTCTTTTGTATTAGCTCACTGCTAGCAATCCTAAGACGTCCCTGCTCATTATCTTCTTTTGTTGTGATACCTTTCGTTTAAGTCCTAGTCTCTGCCCCTGCATTAATTCGTTAAAAGGGTTGTGGCACAATCCGTTCAATGAGAAAGCACATGCTTACCGCCCTTTCTTCATTGGACCTGGCCGCATTTTTGCAGGCTTCTTCGAAGATGAAGGAGTCCCAGTGGCAGGAGCATCGTTCACCTGAGGGAGTGCAGCAGGGTTACCAGGCGCGAGAGGAATGTTTGTGGGGACCATGGTCTTTGAAGTGGACGGCAGTCCCAGCTTCAAACTTAAAATGGTCTTGGCGGTATCCAGCACAGTGGCACTTGTCGGTACAGTCGCGCTTGTCGGTACAGCTGATTTCACCAATGGCTGACAGGTCAAACCCATACTACAGATGGGTTGTGGTTACTAATACCGTGCAGATGGAGTAGATAGTACTTACAGGGGATTCGTCAAAACAATGCAGCCATGAGTCGGTGGTTGGTTTTCTTTCTCGGCTGTGGGTGATGGGGGTGGTATTGGAGTCACTACAGATGGCAGACTCGCATCAGGGTGTGGTATCGGAGACACTACAGGTGCCAGACTCGCATCGGGGGGTGGTATTGGAGACACTACAGGTGCCAGACTCGCAACGCTACTAGCAGCGCTGGTGGTGTTGTCTTCGAGTGTTGGCTCGGGTTCGACAGTGCTGTCCGAGTGGGACTCAAGAGCGAGTGGGCAAACAGATTCGCCTAAAAAATACACATGAGTATGCGCTTGCGAAAAACATATGACCATACCTTCGGATTCAACAGTGAGAGGGCTAACAGATTTGCCTGAAAATACACATGAGTATATGCTTGCAGATAAAAGAATACAATACCTTTGACAATGAGAGTGTTACAGTCAAGTACGCCCTATTCATTTCCTTTCTCTCACATCATTGTATTACATCACGATCACATCTTGCCGTCGCTAGATGATCTATTCTCGTCTTATCTCTGACTCGTCCCATCTCTGACTCATCTCTATGACCTCATTGTACCGGCCCCTAAAGTTGTTACCGTTTACTATATAAACTCGTTGTATACTATGTAGTTCTTTACTTTAATCTTACTAGGTTTTACCTGGAACTTCCTTCGCTTAAGACCTCCAATCTTAAGTCGTATTGAATGTGATTCAAGTCGAGGACACTCTCCTAGACTTGTCTTAGAAACTACTGAACTTCGGTATACGCCGAAGCCTTGAACCGACCTTGGCCGATTACTCTTATCGAGTAGCCATACGTCAGAACCATCCTAGTTCGTAACAAAAGATTAAAGTCTTTCTACGAATACATCGCTATCACGCGTTGTAAAACCCAGAACAGAACAAACCCTGGTCATCACGACAGATAGAACCCCAGGTCCCCCGAAGCTAACAAGCTGACGTCCTTGACACCAATCTTTGGCGCTTTGAACCTAGGTGCTGTACCACCCCTACCACCTTTGAACCCCCCCGATGTCTTCTACGAAACCCATTGAAATCAAAATCGGTTCTCCCCCGGTCTTTGACGGGGATAGAGATAAATCCGAGGGATTCTTGATGTCGTGCCAGTCCTATCTCGATATTAATGAGAAATCTATGTCGACGACAAACAGAAGATCATTTTCGTAACCTCCTTCATGAATGAAGGGAACGCAC